GAGGGGGGTCCCCGAGAAGCCCCCGGGCTCCGAGAAGAAGCCCTCCGGCCCGGAGAAGGGGCCGAGCTCCGAGGGAACGCCCGTCTCCGGGAGAAAGTCGGTGCTGGAGAGGATGGACGTGTGGGAGAAAAGACCCAGTCCAGCGAGAGCCGGCATCCCCGAGAAGCAGCCCCCCCCAGCGAAGGCGGCAGGCTCGGAGAGGGGACGGGTGTCTGAGAAGGCGTTGATCTTTGAGAAGTCTCCGGTCGCAGACACAAAGCTGGTCCCCAAGAGGGCTGTGGACCCGGAGCAGCCCCAGGCCCGGGAGAAGCCTCAGCCCGAGGAGCGGCTGAAGCCCAAGGAGAAGCCTCACCCCCAGGAGCAGCCTCAGCCCAAGGAGAAGCCTCAGTCCCGGGAGCAGCCTCGGCCCAAGGAGAAGCCTCAGCCCCAGGATGAGGATCAGCCGAAGCCCAAGGAGAAGCCTCGGTCCCAGGAGCAGCCTCGGCCCAAGGAGAAGCCTCAGCCCCAGGATGAGGATCAGCCGGAGGAGCAGCCTCGGCCCGAGGAGAAGCCCCGGGCTCAGGAGCAGCCCCAGGCCCGGGAGCAGCCGGTGGCTGAGAGAAGCCAGAGAGCCAGGGCCCACTGCCGCCTGCCCTTGGCAGAGCCGGGGGGGTGCACCCCTCCGACCGCGGCCTCCCGCCTCCCGCCCATCACACTCCAGGTGGGCAGTGCCCCCGCCCCCAGTCCTACCAGGTGCCGGTGGCTCCCTTGCCGTCTCCCGTCCCCCATCTTCAGGCTGACTCGGGCCGTGTCCTCTCTCTCTCCCTGCTCCCCGTCACCATCAGAACAGGGGCATCAGCTGGGTCACAGGAGCGAATCCCCACCCAGGCCCTGGCCTTCGGGGTCCCCCCGGGAGTTCCCCCAGCAGCTGTGCCCGGCGGCCGGGCTCCAGGGAACAGTGTCGCCCATCCCCACAGCAGAGGCAGGCCCAGGACCCCCCCCATTGCCCCCCACTTCCTCCCGCAGCTTCTGGGATGGGCTGGGCCACCTGGGGTCCCCGTGGCAGCCGGTGTGACACGCCCCCTCCATCCAGGTGACAATTCCCAGCAAGGAGGAGGAGGAGGAGGATGCCTTCTCGCCCACGGGGGCCACCTACAGCAGCTCCCTCCGCCGGTCCAGCCCCAGGACTATCTCCTTCCGGGTGAGTGTCCCCCGGGCACGTCCGGCCTGTCCGCGCAGGCCCAGCCCAGGGCACCAGCCTCCGCCACAGCGCAGAGGTCGTGGGTCCGACACCAGGAGGACAGAGCGGGCCTTTGGGGGCCCCTGGTAGTTGGGGAGTTGGACGGTGGATGTGGACACGCAGGAGCGGCCCCACCTGGTGGTGCCATCCGGAACTGCAGGAAGAAAGCTGGCGGCCTCCACAGGGCCCATGGGCAGGTGGGGGGCAGGTACCCCCCAAAACACCTACAGGGGCCCAAGGAGAGGCTTTTCCCCAGACTGGCAGGTAAGGGGGGGCAGGTGTCTCCTGGACAAGACGGGGGACCGTCATGGAGGTTTGGTTGGGAGCTGAGCAGTGGAGGGTGGGAGGTGCGAGGAGAAAGTGTCTGAGAGGGGGCCCCTCCCTTGAGGGGGGCTGCGGCCTCCCCCGGAGCCCCTGCCCCCCACGCTCATCAGTGCCTTTCTCTCTCCTTCCAGATGAGCCCCCGGACCACCAACTCGGAAGCCACCCTCACCCGCAGGTCAGGGGCCGGAGGGCCAGGCTGTCCTGTGGGGTCCTGGTCAGCCTGTTTGCTGAGCTGCAGGGCACACGGGGAGGGGCGGGGGCGG